ATGGTCCGCTACCATATTAAAGGTTTTAGTTGTGGCCCTTGAGGCCATGGGTTTTGGACACTCCTGCTCTAGGGGATGTGGGGAGTCGAAGACAATAACTTCTGACTAATGAATTTGTAGTGGGAAATCTAATTTAATGTTCAGTAATGCGTGTTACATTTCTGAGCCTGAATCAGGGAAGAAATGCCTATTTTTGGAAAGACTCGTAGATGTGAACAATTTTTCACAAAAGAATGGAAATTATGCTGCTCAGATATAAAGTTTGACAGGTTTACATTTAGAGCTTTTTATAACAATAAATAACAACTAAACTGTAAAAACTAAAATTGGAAGAATTATTTCTCAAAATTCAGCGATTTTATCAGTGCGAATTTCAAGATTTTGAAACTGAATACTGACCATGTTCTCTACAAACCAATGGAGGTTTGAATTGTGTTAGTATTTTTACTTTATTACTTATTATTATTATTATTATTATTAGTATTATTATTATTATTGTTGTTGTTGTTATTATTATATTTCTTGTTTAATTATAAATTCTCATTTACTCGTTGTTGCCGTTTGAATGGAAAATTCTCCGCCTAATTTATTTTGGAGATAAATTATTTAATATTTTTTATTAGTTCAGTAATTGTATAAAGGAATAATGCGAATTAAATTACAATACCAAGTCTCTATAAAGTAAAATAATTCTTCTTATATTTATGCAAAACTTACAGGCGGATAGCCCTTTTAATAAACAAGAATCTTAGTCCCTAACCTGAAATGTAGGAAGTTAATGTAATTAATGTTATGCTAGTTCAGTTTATGTACTCCTGATTAAACGCGATCACGAAATCATTATTCTTTTAAATCCAAATGTTCAATTATATTTCAAAATGACAAGTTCAAATGTAAATGAGATATTTGTTTCTTCTTCATTAGAAGAAAATTTAAAAAATATTCGCTAAATATGATACCGTAACAGATAATTTACTCCTCCGAAAGGCTAACAGGGGGAGATATTGCGTGAAGAACCCTCACTCTGGATCACTCGCTCTGGAGGTAGTGCCTGCGATCTTCATTAAGCTTAAACATTGTCCGCGACCTTGACACGCTTGTCACAGGCAAACAAAAATCACTTACTTAACCCTTTAAGGGGAAAAATGTAAGGCTTCCCTGAAAGAAAATAAATCAATAAGTGACAAAACGTATCATCTCCTTTCTGATACCTTAACTAGTCTGTTGTATAACGCTGGAAACTGTCGAGAAGACACATTGGCTACAGGTCGATAACAATTCGGGGGTTGAATATGTTTTTTTTTTAATAAGTACGTTTCTTACGTAATGGATGCTGCACATGGATACATGGAATTTTGTTAGGATGCATATAGATGGATGAGTGATGCTTAACTACTTTATTTATTTGAGAGCTTTCAACTACAATAGAAAATTTTAGTTCAAATTTGGTGAATACGTCAGGAGTAAGATCAAGTCATGTCATTTCGGAGATCATTAAGATATTTTAATTTTTGGGGGTACATGAAGCTTCTGTGAAATTTTCAAATTTTTTCTTAAAAACGGCTGAAAATGTATTCTTGAATTCTTTGCCCGAACAGAAGGAATGAAGTGTATTTATAAATGTGGAATACTTCCGATTTTCATTAAAACCTGTGAAATTTTGAAAAAAGCATTTCAAATTTATTTTCGAACGTGTCCTACATCTCTAATTTAAAACCCAAAAAGTTAATTCTCAATACAATTTACCCCTTAATTTTAGATCTACAAATTATTTCATGCACATTTTAACAAAATATGAGTAGTTGTTGAGTTTGTAGTAATCAGGGTTCGGGTTCTGATGACGTGTCATCTTTTCATCGGTGCATCCTAGACTAGCTAACTTGTAAATGAATGTTTATCGTGACATATAGATAGAATATGTTATAGTTATTTAGTTATTGGGTCATCTTTTGCCACTTTAATTTTTAGGTCATTTCTGGACTTTTGCGTAATTTTTGTCACTGTTTCATTTTCTTGTTTTTGTTAGTGAATGTTTCATGAATGACATACTAACACACAGTTTTTATTGTACCGTCAGCTGATGACGAAATTCACTACTGCAGTGGTCTCTGTTTTTCGAACTCTCAATATTACACGAACTCCGGTAACTTCCCCGACCTTTCTTGCTAGCTGGAAGATAAGAGCTAAGAATTGCATTTCCTTCTTTAAATAAAATAATAATATAAACTAATAAAAACTTAATATTAAATATAGTTTTATATAAATAAATTGTATTTGAAATTGTAAAAGAAATAAACATTTTCATACAGATTTTTGAGATTAAAAAAAAAGGTCATTTCCCCCTTATTTTAAGTCATTTTATAGCCAATTTTCAAACAATTTTAGGTCATCAAAATCCGAGCCCTGATGATAACACTAACAGGAGGAAAGGCTTCGCAATAAAACGTCTTTGTAGGCGGGGGAGGAGCGAGAGCGTCTGACTACGATTCCCGCGCAGGACTCACCCGAGCGCCAGCGCGCTTCCACCGATCGCAGAAAGTGCGTGCGCAGGCTGACTGCGCGCATGGAGCGGCGCAGCGCTCGCGTCTGCGCGCGCATCGCCAGCAGCAGGCGCCGGCCCGCCGCCGTCCCCGCCCCCGCCGCCACCACCACCGCTGCGCACACAGCCCACAAAAGGGCAGGGGTTAGAGTTACATTGTCCCTTTAGCTTAGAGCTGGTCGCGGGTGAGGCGGTGCCCCGCTGCTGAGAGATACCTGGTTGGGGAAAACCCGCTAGCTGACTCTCACCGCCTCCTCACGGGGAAAACACATGCACTACATTTACGGAACTAATGACCTGAGCTGTTGACCGGAATCAACAATTAAATCAACACATTGTCCCTTAAGTACTTGCTTTTCTACTAGGTTGTCCCCAGACAGTCACTAGATTTCTTTGATCAATGCTAGGCGAATGCAGGAGCAGTACCCTAACAAAAGAGCCACGTCCGCTCGCCATCTTCATCGTCCGCCCCTTTCCCCCAACACAAACACTACTGCAACACATGTCGGAAGCTTCGAGCTTGTCCCGGCTGGTGCTGCCCCCACGAGGCGAGGTATATGGTGGGGGAAACTCTCACAAGTCGTCGTGAAGGTCGGCGCCGGAGCTCACATTCTAGCAGAGGAGGAACATCGCCATCTTTGAGTTATAACATCCATTGTACTAATGGGTCCAATGGCCATACAGATACCATGTTACATACATACACACACACACACACACTCACACATACTCATACACACACACACACTCACGCTCACAAACTTGCACAATATGTTACCCCTCCTAAGAACCAATAAATAGTGACATTCAAATAGAAAACTATTCGAATTTAAATATCAGAGAGAATTAAAAAGTGTGTAGCTGTAATGATGAAAACATTTTTGAAATATGTGAAGAACATGTCCTATTATTTTAAATTGTATTTCAGATAAATTAGTATAACATTAACATGCTACGACATTTTTGCCTTTTGTTGTAAGAAGCTCCCTTAATTCACGGAAATTATGGGAAGCTCATTTTAAGCACAAATTATCTCAGCTGTATTTATCGAAAGTAAGCAAAATCTTGGTTTAAACAAAAATTCAGACTACTATTTTTTATCGAAGAGTCGCATACCTCTGATGAGTGAATTGAAAACAACTTATTTTCGTTGCAGTAAATGTATAATGTAACGTACTTCGTTCACACTGAATTAAAGAATAGAAAAAGCACTAAACATTAAAAATATTCAAAAATAAAAACTCATCTCCGAGCATTGCAACAATTTTTAAAAAAACTGCACATAAAGAAGAATATTGAAAAGGGAGTTAATGTGGAAGCTAAATATGTTTTATAAATACGACAGGAACTACTGACGAAAGAATGGCCGACGACTGTTAAGGGAAACGAAATCTAAAATAAAAAATACTTTTACCGACAGGATCTCTAAGACATATTCTTGCATTATTGGAAGTACTTATACATTGTGCTACAAACCGAATATAAAAAAGGCAGGCAAAAATTGAAGGAGTTCCTTTTAGAAAACTTCAGAGTTTGGAGGTTTTTCAGATTTAATTCATTACAAATAAAAAACATCATAATCACAACATATAGATCTGGAATATAAAATCCACTCGCAGAATTCACCAATAACTATAAATAATAGCTTTTCTTATCTACTTTATCTCGAATGGACGACAATACGAGTTGTTGTGACTATTTTACACAATAAATTTAAACAATATGAAAATTTCATTATACATGTGGCAAGTTTTCAATTCCTTTCTCACAAAACAAGCATTTATCAACTTTATTATTAGCTAGATAACCAACTTTTAGTGCCAAGTTAAATTATTATCCTTTTATCAGTGTCAGCGCTGGTGTGATAAAATATCCAACAATATGGGGCTTGGAAGTACAAACCAACGTCTGCGTTGACGAAGTCGGAGTCGGTGTCGGCGGAGGCGAGCGGCAACAGCGATATCAGCTGCGCGAGCAGGAGGGCCTCCAGCAACAGCAGCCGCTCCCATGGCCGCCTCATCGCCCTCCCCGCCCGAGCCCGCTCCCTCGCCCGCACCTGTGCCCGCTCAGACGCCTTCTACGACTGCCGCACGAGGCTCCGCTGCGCCGCGCCATCGACCCTTCGAAAGGTCTCTCCTACAATATTCATCCAGGAGTGAATTACTTCGCAGACGACTTCGCTTTGGAGGCCATGTGATTTCTTCTTATATAGGCCAAGGAAGAGATGCGTTCCCCTTGTAAAAAATGCATGCCATTGTCCTTGTGCTTCATTTTCTCGAGTTTCAATCACTTGGGGCTTCGCCTCTGCGTGATGTTGGTATGGATTTATAGGTTCACTTTTGTACTTCTTGGGAAATAATATGTCTCAACATTAATGGGATAGCTATTTCATACATTATAAAACTGATTATTTTCAACATTGACTATCGAAGAGAATAACTTAATACAAAGTCCATAAAAAATTAAACAGAGAATTTTTAATTAATTTTCGTTGGATTTGGAAACACCGTACGGCTACTAGCAACCTCGAAAGGAAATAAGTGTATTTGAAAAATACCGCCAATAAAATGGCGCCATTTCTACGTCCATAATCATTGGCTTCCCGGAGAGTGAAAGCGCATAGATGTTGTTGTATTTGGAAACTATGCTATTCCATTTACAAAACTGTTTAAGAATTCTTCTTAATATTCATTTTTTGAATTGTTTTATTAATATTTAGCAGTATATATGAGGTTCCTCCGAATTGAATTACAATTCTTTTGAATTCATCGCTGCCATTACGATAATGTCGGAACTGTTTACGTTTCGGGAGAGGTTGTGTTCGAATTGTCCGTATAGTGAATGTTTGATTTATTTGAAGTGGTAATGAAGAGAATATTGAATTTGCCTTGTTGGTGACGCAATCATGTATATAAAACAAGTAAGATTTTCCCTTTCACTAGCATTACGTGTCCTGATATTTATTTTGATATTACATCTTCAAGTACTCCATTGCGAGGTTATTTACTTCTTTGCTTTGCTTTTAGGTTATTATTCAGGGCTTTAAAAGCTACCGGGAGCAAACAGTTGTTGAACCCTTTGATCCTAGACACAATGTAGTTGGTAAGTTCAATTTTCATTTGTAACCATTTATAGGATAATATTTACACATTACTCTTTTGACCTGGATTTAATGACATTACATTATTTTGTTACAGTCGGTCGAAATGGATCTGGGAAGAGTAATTTCTTTTATGGTATGTACTTCACATATAGATAAAAGTGATAATTTATGTGACCTGTAATTGAATTGTTTACATGTTTGCTTTATCTACTATTTCAGCTATTCAGTTTGTACTGAGCGATGAGTTTTCACATTTACGACCAGAACAGCGTCAAGCTCTTCTCCATGAAGGAACTGGACCTAGAGTTCTTAATGCTTATGTTGAAATAATTTTTGATAATTCTGATGGTCGGCTTCCAGTAAGTGTATTCAGTCATACTATTGTTAATCATTTTGTGTTCAAATTGATGAAAGACCTAACATTGAGTTTAAAATTACTGTGATATGACAATTACTCAATGCCACTCTTTCCTGCTCAAGATTCATGTTTGTAAGGGCATATAAAGTAAGAATATATTTTTCTAAGAATCTGTAGAATAATATAGCATTAAAGAAAGTTGCTGACAATTAAATATACAACTCAAGAATAGTAAAATTGTAGTAATGTGATTTTAACTCACAATTTGACGTCTATTCTTTGACTCGAGACAAACATCGAACAATTTTCATTATTGGTGTTCCCATTATGCATGTCTTCTGTCATTAATTTTAATTGGTATATAAGAATTTTTTAATAACTTTTCTATTCAATGGTTATTTCCAATTAATATATTTTCTGTGAATTTGGCACTGTGTAACAAAATAAATCTGTCATAATTGAAAGAAATATAATTGATATTCACTGAGAATAAATAAGTAAACAATTTCTAGTTATATTCCATTTCTACATTTGTATTATCTAATTTGTATTCTATTCAAGTTCTATATTTGTTATCTTTGTATTGTTATTTTGTATGATATATAAAATAATGTTTATCTCTGTTTACATATTTGATGTTGTTTGCTGAAACCATTTTTATTTTCCAGATTGATAAAGATGAAGTGTATCTCAGGCGAGTCATTGGAGCCAAAAAAGACCAGTATTTTCTCAATAAAAAGGTTGTTCCTAGGTCAGATGTTATGAATTTACTGGAGTCTGCTGGTTTCTCTCGGTCAAATCCTTATTACATTGTAAAACAAGGAAAGGTATTTATGCTATAAATTTGATTTTCTTTTACCCAGCGATTGTAGGCAGTAGTGATGTGCCCGTTTTACAGCATTTGTTGCAAATGAATTTTAGGCATTTCTATTTTTAGTTAAAATGAAATACAGGAGTAATTTAAAAGTTTAATGTGTTTAGCGTGTATAAATTCAGTGGGTCATTTAATACAAGGTACTCCATTGTGTACTCTATTCAAGAGTTCAATAATGATTTCTATATTGCCATTTTTTAAAAACATAATTAAACACAGAATCTTGAAAAAAAAATCTTTCATGTTTCTCTATTAATAAAGGAAACATTGAGGAGATTAATTGTGAAATTATTAAATGAAAGGATTTTTAAAAAATATCAGGAGCAATAAAACGATAGTCAACCAACAGCATACATGGAAGGTTCTCTGACCATTACCTCACTGCTGTTGATGTCTGCCACAGATGCAAGTGAAATGTTTGGAAGGAGGGCTTCCAGCCATGGGCTATCAGCCTAGAAAATTAATTACTCATTTAACAAAATGTTCAGTTTTTGTATAACCTCAGACTTTTGGACTACTGATATTAAAAATATTTAATGTTTTGGTTAAAGAAGAGAATGTGGTACATCTTTAGAGAAGTTTGGCGAAGGTGAAGAGGATGGTACATCTTTAGAGAAGTTTGGCGAAGGTGAAGAGGAGTGAGATATACTGCGATTTTCGCAACTCTGCCCCAGGTATCAGCTGTTGACAGTTTCATCCATTCGGGAGATTGAACGACGCCATAGTCACTGTGGTGACTTTCAAGCTCTCAATTGGATGAAACCTGCCACGGGCAGAATTGCATAAATTGCAGTATAGAAAAGGATCAGGGGAGGTGGACATGAGTCTCCTTAAGCCCTCCCTCAAGTTATATCTGCGCTCTGAAAGAAATGAAGAAAACTTACCAATATGTGACTTTCTCATGTTGCAAAGTGTGGATACATGTAGAAGGAGCAACAAATGCCTCTAAGTTGACCCTTACTGCACCGGACACTTACCCGAAAGAAGAGTGGCCCTGTTCTTACTGCACTTCCACTTGAACCGATTACTCAACTCCTTTCAATTGGTCAATTTCATTGGACACTTACACACCTGATATGTCAATCCTGCAGCAATCAAAACTCTTTCTTGCACCCACTCATTCAGCCAAACACTCCTTTTGGTGCAACATGTATAAAAAATTTCTAACCATTGTAGCACAAATTATTGTAATTATTGCAAGAAGCACAAATCACAAAGAATTCAAAAAGCGCAAGAAACCTGACTGTATGGTAGTAAGTAGCTTACCCCTTCAACAGCTACCCATAAACACAAATCACAAGTGGCACACCACCATTAATGCATTTTGATAATGGAGCATGCACTTTTGACATCATGTTTGTGACCAATTATGAACCATTAAAATTATTTCAGAAGTGTAGTTTTTATGATTTATTTATATCAACCACACTTTGCTTATTATAAGGATGTACTAAGTTACATACATTGCTTGCTACCCCTCCCCACCAAAAGATTCTCCTTATAAATCCCTAATCAACCCTTGTCCCCTCCTCCATGAATTTCAACCTCCCCAGAGGAGCGCAATGTGCTGGTCTAAACAATTCCTCTCAGATGTACCATGTTCTAAACTTCAGCAAGTTTTTCTTCTAATAACTAAGGATGGCTGTCTTGTTGACCCCTACAATTGTGTTATCTTAAATTTATTGGAAATTGTTTGTAATATGGAAAGAAATGTCTTGTTGTTCTTAAGGCTTTTTCTGAACTTCAATATTTATCTGTAACAAATTTGAAAAACAGGGCAATTTACTGAAACTGGTTGCTGAATTGTTTGAGAATTGTAATTTTTTTAGGACTATTTTTTGGATTGTGGATGTAATATTGATCAGTACTCTATCAGTTAAAACAGGGTGATGTAAGGTTTGATAAGCTAATCCAATCGTGAGTTTCAATTTCAAAAAGTTAATCGTAATAAAGCTCACGATTAGATAGCTGAGACCCTTCTGATCACATGCCAGTGCCTTTTAATTGGAGTGCACTAGTTATATAAGGTGTACTGTAATAAATAGTCCATTTAGTGGATAAATTCTTCGTTCACTCTTTGAACTCTTTTCCTGCAATTCTGACCCTCATTCAGTGCTTTCATTGTGGAGGTTATATGTTTATTGTCTTTCTGCAGATCAACCAAATGGCAACTGCACCTGACTCGCATCGCTTGAAATTGTTACGAGAAGTAGCGGGTACTAGAGTGTATGATGAGAGGAGAGAAGAATCAAAAGCCATTCTGAAAGGTATGTAGTCTCATTGCAATGGTGGTGAGCAAAGCCCTTCTCATATTTTTTTTATTATTCAAGGCTATGCAGAAATTAGTTTGATTAGAAAATTTTAGATACTGAACAGAATTTTGACCATCAGTGCAATAACTTTTATTGAAAACTGTACTTGATTAATGTTTTTTTTTGTACCCCATTAGATAGGAAGTTAAAGTGTAAAAGTTTTTCATTGGAATACAACTATGAAATTAGAGACATCATTTTATTGATATCTACCTATTTTAATTTCAAATTTCTCTTTTTTACTTGAAATTATGTTTAATTTTCTTTTAGAAACTGAAAGTAAAGTGGAGAAGATAGAAGAGTTTTTACGAACAATTGAAGAACGACTAAAAACTCTGGAGGAGGAGAAAGAAGAGCTGAAAGAATATCAGAAGTGGGATAAAATGAGAAGATCTCTGGAGTACACTATACATGACAGGGAACTGAAGGAAACTAGAAAAAAGCTCAATGAAGTAAGTCAGTGAAATTTCACGTGCAGAAATGTTACAGAACTTCTTCGGATTCTTCTGATATTTTTCATGTCTCTTTCTCCATGTTTCATTCTCATTCTAAGACCCAAGCATCCTTTATGCCCTTATCTCAGCAGAGGTACTTCTCTCTGTCTATGAACATCCTTCATATCTCATCCTTTTATATTCCTTTGCCAAACTATTTTAAATTACTGTCATTACTAAAAAAACAAATAAAATAAATTATTTTTTATAATGAATTCACTATTATAGTTTAACACAGTGGTAAAGGATATGAATTTCACGACAGTTTTAATGAAAATAGACAATAAACTTGACTGAAAAGTTTATTGGTGGTTGGTATTAACATTTAAAAGTTTCTTTATCGATGGTATAATTATTGCTACTGTTGTAGCGATGTTAGTAGGTTCAAATACGATCAGAGTTGTGGATTTTTAGGGGCAAAAAAAATCCCCTGTACATGTTCCTTTAGAGAGGAAGTAAAGTCAGCTGTCCCATGTTGCAGATTTACTGCATGTAAAAGATCCTCACGCATAAAAGAAGCATCTGATGTACATTCAAATTGCCTGTTTTTCATCACTCGATACACCTTCTTTCTCATCTAAATGGTGAAAGGAGAGAAACAAAATTTGTGTAGTCAGATGGAAGAGTGGGCCTGATGCCTGAGCCTCCGGAGAGATGGCTCAGGACATCAACTGATGTAACTACCGCCCCTCTGACCGGGAAGACCTAGGCTTGAGTCCTGATGATGGTGTGATTTTTGACACTAGCTAGTCGGCTAGTTCGAATTCAGTTGCTGTCTGGAGGAAAATTCTAGTGGTTGGCAGCTCTTATCGGTAGTTTTCCATGGCTTCTCCAATCAACATCAGGCAAATGCTGGAACAGTACCATAACAAACGGGCCATGGCCATGCACAATCTTTCCTTCCTATCTCTTGTCCTATCATCACCCCTGACAGACAGTTACACCAACATGCCGTTACACTATTATATATATTGGGGTAGACCGGTCAGGAGCTTGTCCCAGCTGGGGCGGTGCCCTGCTGATATGAGATATGTGGTTGGGGAAAACCCTGTTAGTAGGTCGGTGCTGCCTGCTGTAACAGCGGGAGTGAGGGAAAACTACTGCCACCTCCCAAACAAAAATATGCACTACACTTCCGGGACTTGTGACCTTGGTAGGTGACACCCCTGTAATCGCTAGTAATTAATCAATCAGCCTGATGCCCAGAGTCTTGCCATGTAAAACAACACATGAACTAAAAAGGCAATTTTATGATAAAAATCTTAACTTTCAAATAATTTTGTTTACTTAAAACATTTAAGTGATTTTTTAATTTTTTATTTGTTTAAATTGTCCTGTCAGACAAGCAAAATCCTTCAATATCCTTTAATTAAGAGAAAGATCGCAATGTTGAAGGAGGTTACTAAAGCAAATCTTGTTTTACTAAAGATCTTTTTTCTGCCGCAATTGGCATGCTTTAGAATTTTCAAATTTTCTTGAAGTTTTTGTAAATTGTAACTTTGGGAAAATGATCTTTTACATTTTCCTGTTATAAGCATATTTCCCCGGTCATTTCTGTAGCCTGATGTTCACAATCATCCACAAGTTTTAATATTTTCACCAAGGGCGGTTCTCTTTTTCAGAGTTGAGTAATGACATATGTGAGGGGGAGGGAAAAAAGGTTGCAATACTAATTAGGTCATTTTTTTCTAAAGAATTCAGAAGGGGATTAGTTATCAATTTTAATAAAACCGCATGTTTGTACATTGGACAAGCAATAACGAATATAGACAGGAATGATAACAAAATTAAAAGATATGACACTTTCAAATATCTCGAATCTTTAATAATCAAATCGGGTACGTATTCTACAGATATTATATATTAAAGCTATTGATCCCAGTGTTGGTCAAAGGCATCCCTCAGTTGTAGGGGGGCTTTGCTTTCAGGTGAGCTAATCCTGGAGAGCTTTACAGATCTTAACACTGGAGTAATTATTGGTAAGATTAAAGGGTCATTGGGTTGATTCATTTGGCCCAGATTCTTGGGTATATTTTCCCAAAACTTAATTTTTAACTTAATTAATTGGTCTTAATTTTTTTTAATCTTCTCTCCACCACAACATTGGTTTTGAGAATATAGCAGAAAATGGAAATCGTTATGTTTTGACAGTGCACTGGAAAGTAAACTATAATGAACTCTGTGTAAGAATTATTTTTCTTATTTAATTTTCATCCCCATAAGTTAGGGGCATTTTCACTAAAAGAAATAAATTAAATCTCTTCTCTTTTACTTAAAATGTGAGAATATATTTCATTCTCCTTGCAATGAAATGTTTATGAGACTTTATTTTTAAAGTAAACTAATTTAATTTTAAAAATAGTCCAATACAAAACGCAGATTTAAGAAAATAGACATTAAAATAGAAAATTACTGTCGGACCCACAAAGATGTAATTTGTTAAAATTAAATTCTATCTAACTCTTAAAATTAAACTAGTGGTGCTACAACAGCTCATATTACTTTCTCATATTATTTGTAACTTTTCCAATTTTTGAAAATTCAGAGATTTCAATCAAAATGAGATCTGCGCCTTGTTTAAGCATTTTCTATGCTATCTAAGGACAAAGTTTTACCCCCAAATCTGGAGCTGTTTGTGAGAAAAATTAGAAAAAGTTGTTGAGGCCTCTTGTAAAATACCCCTCAAAATCTTAATATGTGTCCGTTTCATACTCACAGGCCTCGAGTTTGGAAAGATTGACTGGGAATATTCATTTTGGAGAAATTTGTCTCAAGGTTCAGGTGCTAGCGTTGACCACTGACAGATAGAGAGATTTTTGATTTTACGTACCCACAAAATATGGATTACATATTGACTGCATAACAAGTTAGAGAGAATAATTTACTATGTATAGGATCAAGATTTATCAAATTTGATCCACTTGATCAGGGAATATCAATTTCAGAGAATATCGACTGAGAGGTTTAAGCACCGTCAGTGACCACAGACAGTCAGACATTTGCCATTAATCAATTTTTCAGTATGAAGGATGCCAAAAATGTGAAGTCAGGCTACATGAATGATAGGAAGTAATTTACTACATAGAAGATTTACCCACTTTTCCAATATCATGGCCCCACTATATGAGTTTTTCTGTTGAAAAATCATTGAGTTCTTCTGCATCATAACAATACTTTCTCTTTGCTATGTAAGTACATAATAAAGTGAGATAGTAAAAATCATAAGTGCATTGGATTAATTATGGACCTTGGTGATGAACATGAGCCAAGATTATCGTGATATGTCCTTGAGGTCCCAGGTACAGTTATTTAAGCACGGAGGGTGTTTACTAGTTCTTACGATCCAACAATGTCAAAAATGGCAAAGGGCTCTTTTATGCTCAAGATCATTAGAATCTGTTAAAAACTGTAGTACAGTGAAGGTTCTAATTCTTGCTTCATTTTCATGATTCAAATTTACTAATGAACTAGATACTTGATATGGTTTGTACATCTTGATTTTCTTTGCCTTTTCATAATTTCCTTCATTAGAGAACTCGCAGCATTGTTCAACTTTTTTCACATTTCCCTCATAACCACAATCCTCGCAATCCAGGTAAGATATGCAGCATATAACAAGTGTATTGAAGACAATAACAAGCAATAACATATTAGTAAAAAAATGAATTTATTTATCCTCGCCACCTGCAGGTGAATGCTGTCCTGTTACCCTTATGAACCCTCAAAGACTCTCCTGTTTTCCTTGTGCATCCGACTTACATTCTGGGAAAACTCCATTGGAAAGCTAAAGTTTAGCAAATGCTTCCCAAGTCCTGCTGGTTAATTGAAATACTGGGTGAGTTGTATTGTTCAGATGACTTGGGACAATGTAATTTTATTGTGAAAATGAAAAATTAAGTTTTATTTGGTGGGTCAGTGTAAAAAATGTGCGTATGAAATATTTAAAATGTTTTGTAATTAGATTTCTAGGCATGAGCATTGTTATATCGTAGTTGCAGTCAGTTTGTGTGTATTGACTCGCAGTGTACTGTTTTGTTATAATTGAAGTTAGGGACCATAATAACATCCATAAATTAAGAAATGCTGAAGAGGGGAGCAGCAGGTCTGAGGCAGCGATTCACTGTGTTATATCGGGGTAAGGGGGTATTAGTGAAGTGTTATGTAACATGGATTTTTTTTAATACATTTTTCAACATTTGCCGATATAAGCCGTCTTGTACTAAAACATTAAAATATTGACTAATTAAATTGTTTTAAAAATATAACTAACCTAAAGTTATTAGTTGTAAATTGTTACAATAAATAGAAAGTTTTTTTGAATCTCTAAGATTACGAAGAAAATATTAAAAAATGATAAGAGATATATTCTAGAAACCATTTAAATTGGCTCTGTTAACTTGTTCTTGCATCATCCACGGCAGCATGTGATCAACCATTTCTCGCCCAAGCATTCTTCTTTCACTCGTAACTTATCCTAATCTTATTGTTGGGTGTCTCCAGCATTGCCAACTAGTTTCTACTTTAATTATCATTAATTACTTTATATACAACACAGGTAAAATAATTACAAATGTTTTTTTCTGTGCTATCATTTGTTATTTACTTTATGCATTTACAAGGGGAGGGTGTTGCAAGTGTTACGAAATTATTTAAGGGGGCTTCAAGCGTAAGTTACATGTGCGTTACAAGGGGAAGAGGGGGTATTGAAAATAGTACAAATTTCCATTATATAATTTATGGACAGCGCCTTATATATTCCAAGAGAAATCCAGCCTCTTATCCCTTATTGTTATGTGAAAGAATTGCTTCACTACACCAAGAATGTAAAATGGTATCTTTTAAGCTAATATTTTTAGGGTCAAGTCGATGCTACACCACTCAGTCCAAGTTGACCTGTCCTCAAGGTTCAATGCTTCAAACTTTGGTGTCCATAATAAACAAAATAGCAGCCGCGACTCCATTCAGCACATAATTCCCAAAACATTTTGTGCAAAAATTTGTTTTTTAACCTCGCTGCCTGTGGAGCAAATTCATTCAGCAGGGCAGCATTTAGGAATAAGACCCAGACTGATGGGGTGCAGAGGGGGTCTGTATAGGGAGGCTTGATAATTTCCTGGGTTGAATTTGATTCTCCATTTTTTGGCCCAAGTAGATTTGATGCAGGTGATTTTGAATATTCATACAGTGTGATCCAGTACTTGATTATTTGGGAATTTGACTTGGTAAAGAGAGCGAGGGAGATATTTGGGCTGGTCAGTGCATCATAAGTCAAGATATTGACTATTGAATATCAATAAAGTGAGTGTCCCATATATAAATATGAATTTTGACTTTTGGTGTTGGAAACTATTATTAGGAAATTTAATGTTTAGTATTTTCATTGTCTAAATGCATCTCTCCCCAGATGCTTGTTTCAGCTTTGTTAAATGTATCCTGGAATAATTAGAAATAATTTTGGGACATACTGCAAGTTATATGTAAATGTAATATAATTGATAATTTTCTTAGCAATTAAAGCTTTCAAAAATATTTCAAATATTTGTAGTAAATAAAAATTTCCAGATGGAGGCAGCACGAAAAAATTCAGGAGAAGAGCAGAAAAAGTGGAGTGCAGAATTAAAAAATGCCCAGGAAAACATCAAGCAAGCCATTCGTCGTTTGAAGGAAGCAAAGAAGAATGTGCAAACTCATAAGGAAGAGCGAGACACTTTGGGTGCCGAGTATCAGCAGTTACTGAAAGAGAAGACAAAGCTTGAACTGACAATTAAAGATTTATCAGATGAAGTTATGGGTGATAACACTTCTAAGGTATGTATTCTTAGTTTACTTTTTGATGTTTTTAGACCTGTTGGTTGGAGACAGAATTGATTCATTTTATTCTAACAACTCCTAACTCTACAGCCCAGAATCCTGTCTTCAGGGGTGTTCTCTTCACTTTTATCCAGTTTGTGTACAGAGTAGGGGTCTTCCCTCATCATTTCAGCCATTTCCAAGTGGCATGGTGTGTGATTCTACATTTTCAGTGTGCTGTATACGCTGCATAGTATCTAACCTTCCGTAATTCCAAACTTTTGCTATAACCACTTTTAACTGGCATTATTTCCATCACAGGCTTCGTGCAGAAGTAGTGGCAGCTTGTAGGGCAGTGCTAGTGTGCCATAGTACCACCAACAAGAACGAAGGAATTATCAATTTTCATCACAAACATGTGTATAATGTATTGTTTCTTCAAAATATGTTTCTTTATAGTAATTCATTTCAATGAGCATTTAGTCATTAATGCTCAATCAATACATTCTACAAACACCCAGGGTGGTGTGCTATCTGTCAGCCTTTTTCTCTTCTGAGACACCTGTGGTTTGGCATTGCTCTCTCTAAATAACACTGAAAACTCTGTTGGTATGCATCTCTTATGGATGAGACAGAGCCAGAATTGAACTTGTGCAACTTTCAGTTTTTCTGGCAACCTGTACTATAGAGTGAAGGAACCATAAAAAAAATGCAATAGAACATCCAAAAGAATTGTCATTTGTAGATTACAGCGTCGGCGATGGTGTAATGGTTAGCTTAGTAGATGATGTAAAGCTCGCCGGTTCAAACTCGATCAAAGTTGTGGATTTTTAGGGCGACAAAATCCTTTGTACGCCTTCCTTCGGAGGGGAAGTAAAGCCAGCTGTCCCATGTTAGTAGATTTACTTGCATGTAAAAGATCCTCAAGCCTAAATGACGCCTCTGAGCTCAATTCAAATCGCCTGTTTCTCGCCCAAGAAATACCTCCTTTCTCTGCTATTTGATGAAAGGATCGTAACGAAATTTGCGTGGTCAGACGGAAGAGTGCGCCTGATGGCCCGAGTTTCACCATGTAAAATAAGGCAAATTCAATTCAATTCAATTACAATATAGAAAACATAACAACTTGTATATCTTTCAGAAACAAACAACACAAAAACCTAGTTGTAAGACTATAATGCATTGTTTCTCTGTTAGGCATGATGGTAAAGTGTGTTTTGCATGCTGCCTGATAATCCAGGTATGCCATTCTCTGTGCACTTCAAGTGTTTTGTCTTAAAATTCTCTGATGCACCCTTGGGGTGCAATTTCCTTTCCAGCAGTCATACACTTTTGGGATTTTGTGTCCATGGTTTCTTATAAAAAGGAATATATATCATGTTATAATACTCTGAAGGGGATAAGGAAAATTAATTTTCCACCAGTAACATTTTCTTGCAATTTACCTTTTTTTCTTGGTCTCTTGGAAATTGGAAAAGAGGTTACCCACTGTATGCAGGATGAAACAAAATCTTTCTATAATTTAAGCACAATCTGAAATAATTGTTCTTCATGTTACTTATTTTAGGAACGTGCTGAGAACGAACTGAGAAAATTGAAGGATACCATAGCCCAAAGGGAAGCTGATTTGGAACAAATCAAACCACGCTATGAGGAAATGAAAAAGAAAGAAGAAGAATGTACCAGAGAGTGAGTCTTTACAAAATTTATTTCATCACTATATATGTGTACATATTCATGTGTACATAACTTTTATTGGGATATTTACCAGCTGAGATGGTTCAGGGCAACACCTATTGCCATTGCAGCTTTTCTGACTGGGAGGTTCTAATTGCATATTTGCTTAGGTACGAAAGGTGTTTAAGTTTGTTTTCTTTATTTACAAATTACGTGAACAGATAGGACATTCCTGATCGTGTTCTTGATAAATAATGAAAAAAAGAAACGCATGACAAAAAATTATAAAATTACGTTATGATAAATGGAAAAGAAAACAGAAAAGAGAAAAAGAAAAGAAAAAAAGACGGTAGATGATAATCTAAGGACAACAATATTTGATATCTTAATGAGGGAAAAATGTGCTTAAAATTTTTAGTTGTTAATTCTTCTTCAGAAGTATTGCAAATTTGTCCCATGTTACAAGTTGTACAGCGTGGCTTTAACTTCCTTGTAGGAATTTAGATTTATTTCATTGGTTTATTAGAGATGTCTTGATGCCTTAAGCATCAATTGAGAAGGAAAGATTTTTAAAAATTTGAAGAAATGGTTTTCAGAAATTCACATATATTGCATTTATCACTCTGTAGTGGAAATATTTTAAAGTTCCCTTTGGAAGAGAAAGAATTGGTCATTGTAGACTAAGATTTTCAGTGAAACCTAAGACATAATGCTCCATCAGAAGATTCTCACTTATAATTTTCTCTATACCACATGTTTAAGTAAGTAAACTCTTTTCAAGAGATTGTTTAATCTCTCTTCCATATATTTATTAAAATATATATTTTTTTTTTTAGAGTAATGTTTGTGATTTTCTTGTGTGTTTCCAGTTTGGCTCTAAAAGAGCAGAAGAGAAAGGAGTTGTATGCCAAACAAGGTCGTGGAAGCCAGTTCACATCCAAAGAGGAGAGAGACCAATGGATCATGAAAGAATTGAGGTGAAGGAAATAATTGAATTGTGAAAGAGTAATGATTTTTTAACAGGATTATTAATTCTTGAATCTTTTGTAGGTCTCTGAACAAACAAATTAAAGATAAGAAGGAACATAGAGACAAACTATCTGATGATATGAAACGAGATGCAGAAAAGCAAGTCCAACTAGAGAAAAAAATTGAAGTACGTGAGTGATATCTTAGTGTCACAATGTTCTTAGATAATTATTACATAATTATATGTTTTATACATATTGTTTTTGTGATAGGAACAAACTCAGGAGATGGAGCGGCAACGAGGATGTATTGATGAGCACAATAAGCAGTTCTATGAATTGAAGAAGAATAAGGATCAGTGTCAAAGTACCAGAAAGTGAGTTCTTTTGAAAATTTGTGGTAAAGGCAACAGAATGGCTGGGAATAATAATTTTGTTACGGAAAGCAACATACCAATTTCTATTTAATGAATGAAATTATGGTTATCTAATTACAAGTTATAATGTTGGAGACTGTGTTTGGTGTTTGTTTTCCACTTGGCTGATTGGCTCTGAATAGGATACACAGATGAACATATAAACATACGGACCTTCAGAGGCAACAGGAAGCAGCAGTTGAAACTCAAATTATTGAAAGCTGTATTCTACAAAATGAGACCTTTTTGAACATCCTATTACGCTGTTGGAGATTTAGCTCTTCCTGTTTGGTAGTACTGCTGATCAATAAAAGTAGTACTTCCAAATCAGTGAAAAATTACATTGAAAAAAATAGAGAGAAATAAAATTCTGGAAAAAAATTAAAGTGACTTATTTCATTTTCTGTGAAATTTAATCTTGATTTTTAGCTGTATTAGGGCCGGTTTCACCAACTGCCGAGTAAAGTTGTGAGTAGTTACCCGCGAGTAAGAATTTACTATAAGATAGTAACTCTGGAGTAGAATATAAGCGTTTCACCTGCTTCTACAGGGTTATTTTACTCTAGAGTACATACTCTCCGATTTACTCCACGAATCAGCTGAACGTGCAATATTTGAGAGCGATTCAAGAGGCTGTGGGGAAGAGATGCTGGGAACCACTGCGGACCAACGCAACCTTTGATTAATTCCTTATATTCTGTCATTCATTTCAGTTTCGGAGTTCTTGGCGTTATTATCTTTTGTGGTGTTATCGTGATTTGAGTTGGCATAGTTTATTTCTTAGTTTTTGTATCTTTATTTCTTAATAAATAGATGAGTTACTATTTTGTTAGCAAAGCAGGAAAATCAAATTTGCAGTTCGTTTACCGATGGCGATGCAAATAAATTTTCTATTATTCGGGAAGGAAAATGTTTACTTTTTCAAATGTTGCTGATCTCGTGGTTTTCTAAATTTTATTATTATTATTATTTGTTTTATTTTTTTAAATTGTATTCAACTTTGAACTATTTATAGTTAAAATGTTGGAAAGGATTTTGGAACTCAAGAAAACGTGCGCAAATGATCTCCCCCATATATCACATACAGTTTTTACTAAATAAATAAATATTTCTTAGTACTTGTAGTCCTATAGTTATTATTTTTCCTTTTGTTTGTTCATAATCCTTCAATTTCATATCCACATGGGCGAAAAATAAATTGACAAGTTCTCTACAGTTAAAATGTATATGATGAAGTTAACAGCTGATTTGGTCAAACATAACCTCGTGACAAAATCTCGATCGCCATAATTAAAACCAATCCATTCTCTCTTGCACTCTTTGTCTTCGCACTAATGTTCCGATCCATTGCTGGAATCGTCTTCAAATGGTATCACTCATAATCACCAAGCTGTAACAACACTTCGGAAGTACATGCACGTTGAAAACTGAATTTACTCCGTACTTTACCCGACGGATTTTCGCAGTGTAAAGTTACTCTTGAATTAACTCCCATGTAAGCGATTTACACTCGAGTAAAGTGTTGGTGAAACGCTCCAAGAAGTTACTCTCGAGTAAACCGGCCCTTAGAATGATTGCTCATGCCCAATACCAGGTATATAATGCTGTAATGCACAGTTCAGGGATTGACCATTTCAAGAAAGGGTTCAGTTTAAAGTAATATACACTTTTAAAATGATTTGTGAAGTGCAGAATGTTTACATGGGTGCAAATAATTCATATTGTTCCTATTACAAGCATGTGTAATTTTTTTTATTTGCAGTGAACTTTGGAGAAAAGAAAATACATTACAGCAGAGTCTCTCATCTCTCAAGGAAGACCTTGCTAAAGCTGATCAATCTCTTCGTTCAATGGCAGGAAAGGTCTGTAGAAACTTTATTATAATAACACGTATGATTTCTGTTGTGAAGCAGAAGCAATCCTTTAATCTTCATTACAGGCAATCTTAATTTTAAATGTACTCAAATTTTCATTATTTTATGTTAATTTCTCTCTTTTTTTATTTATTTCTATGGTACAGTTTCATTAATTGTTGGAATCAAAATTAATTTCTATGGATTATTTGTAAATATCAGTTATTGAAACAGGTTTGTTTTTCTTTCAGCCAATTCTCAACGGACGAGATAGTGTTCGCAAAGTTTTAGAAACATTCCATGAAAGAGGAGGTGCTCATGCAGATACAGCTAATTCATATTATGGCCCAGTTATAGAGAATTTCAGCTGTGATAAACAAATCTATACAGCAGTGGAAGTCACAGCAGGGAACAGGTGCGAAGAAAGAGCGTGCACATTGCAGCAGATACTGAGAATATTTGCAGTTTCATGTAATTCTCCATTGCTTTCTTTGCAGGTTATTTCACCATATTGTGGATTCTGATAAGGTGGGAACACAGATCCTGAAGGAAATGAATCGCCAAAAACTGCCAGGGGAAGTGACATTCATGCCTCTAAATAGATTGCATGTGAAGGACCAGAACTACCCTGAGACTAATGTATGTTGTGATTGATTCTTTGTGTGTATTACTGTGAAAGTCAATGAACTATGGTTTACAGTTTTCATTTCTTTGTAAATCAAAATACATGATTTAAATAAGCTGTTAAGGCATAATATTTTTATATTTCTATTTAATTTGTGTATTTTTGTTTTTAGGATGCCATACCTATGGTCACAAAATTGAATTATGAAGCCAAATATGATAAAGCATTGCGATACATCTTTGGGAAAACTCTGATATGCAGAAATTTGGAGGTTGCAACCAATTTAGCTAAAACAAGTGGGTTAGATTGTGTTACTCTTGAAGGTGATCAGGTACAGAAAAAACTTGTCAAATTATTGAACATAAAATGTACTGTTGATGTGTTATTCCGTAAAAAACCTGTTATAATTTACACATGTTCAGGTATCGTCAAAAGGATCACTTACTGGAGGATACTTCAATACTTCTCGTTCTCGTTTGGAAATTCAAAAAAATCGCAGTGAGCTAACTGATCAAATTAGAGCTAATGAAGAAGAATTGTCAAAATTGAAGGACAATCTCCGAGAAATCGAGGGGAAAATAAATACTATTGTGTCTGACATGCAGAAGACAGAAACAAAGACCAGTAAAGCTAAGTAAGTGTAGAGTGTTTGTTGTCTTTGTGTATCAGTTAAGAAAGTGAATAAATATGTAACACTTACAATTTTAAAGAAATCGGGAAGCTTCTGATTTTCTAAATCTTGATCTAACTTTTAACAGGTTTTTGAGCTTTCTGAAGTGTATTTCTTCAAATTTGACAATTTGCAATTAACATGACAATATCATGAATTATAATTAAATAATTGAATTTATACCATCTAGAGTATTTTCATTATTTTGATGGCCAAATTTATAGTGACATGTACTTTTCCTGTTATTGACTTCAAGGAGTGAAAAAAAAAATGTATTAATTGGCACACAAGAAAACAATTTCACAAAATATTTTTGAAAGAAATACGGATTTTTAAAACTTTTTCTTTTTTTATATTGTTTTGTTTTCAGTTGGTAGTAGCTTATGAATGTGTGTTGATGGTGCTTAAATTCTTCTGCACTTGGTACTGGACATGCAGTTGCAATATGAGGGAAATATTTAGTAGCCACAACTGATTTCAGAAATGTGGCAAGGGGCTGGCCTTGAAAAAAATATTTCCTTTGCATTTTGCATTTTTTTGCACAACTCCTAATAACTTCTGTGTTTCGTACTGAACAAATATTGCAGGATGTCATTGTTCATGTGTTGGATTTGCCATTGTCAAAGTTTGCAGAAAGTTTTCAAAATTTTGATGTTAAAATTGTCCTCTAATTTTGAGATTTCAAGTAAGTAAATTGCAATTAATTTTCATTCTACTTCATTTTCTATCAACTTTTCAGGGATATATTTGATAAAGTGAAGGCTGATATTCGTTTAATGAAGGAAGAGCTTGCAGGAATTGAAAGGTATAAAGTACCCAAGGAGCGTTCTCTAGACCAGTACGCCTCCAGTTTAGAGGCCATGAAGACCACCAAGGAGGGACTGGAATCTGAGTTGCATCAGGTGAGTTAAAGTTGAACATGCATTCTGATTTCCAAACAAAGAAATGCAAATAATTATTTTCAGTATTTTAAATTATTTCTATTAGATTATATTTGTTTTTAATGACAACAATAAATTAAAAATAGTGTGTGTATCTTCTCTTTTATTAACTTTGTACCTACTGCATGTTTACATATACAGGAAAACCCCGTTTTTATGTTCCCGGATTTTTCGTTTTATTTGCCTTTTTCATAATTTTTCATTGGCTCTTGTCATAGAGCCTCTTATGCATTCGTAATGCTTTTTCTCCCCGCAATTTACAATTGCATATAAAGAGTGCTTCCCATCTTTTATGTCATCTTTTTTTTTTTTTACTTTTGTGAATGCCATACTACAAATATTATGTGGAGTAATATGTGTAGTGCGCACACATTTATGTAAAGCGGTGGCAAAACAGCGATTTTTCGAGAGAAAACTCATACTTGTACAGAAAAAGTTGATAAATCCTATTCCAAAATGTAGTAAATTAATACATACATATTTAGGAAACTATCAATCAAGAAGTATCGTTTTTGGTCAAAATTGTCTGAACAGTTTTGACTAGTATTAACCACAGATGGACAAAATGACGTTTTGCCCATTGATTCAATCAATCAATTGATTTTTTGGTATTAAGGATCCACAATACATGGATTCTGGCTACACCGTGTGAAGAAGTAATTTATTACACATAGAATCATGATTTATTCACTTTTTTGTTACCAGGGCCCATCAATAAAAGTTTTTCTATTGAAAATTTGCTTTTTTCAGCACATAATTACAATACATATGATTTGAAGCTCTTTTTCAGAGAAAATTTTAGTTTTAGAAAAACTTCATTAGAAGTCATTTGAAGCACTTCAACTCACAAATACAAGAGTGCTGCCAAATTGCTGGAAATATGCATACTAATAGTGTGAGAGATTTTTTCAAAAAACAAAAAATCTCAAAATGAACTTTACTTCATGTTAAAGCAATTAGCACAATCCCTTCAAAAAGTTTTGAAGAAAAATTTTGAAGCCATTTATGAGAAAATGGCAAATCACCGCTAATGTAAATCTAAACAATGTGAGCCAAGTCAAAAAAATTCCATTTTTATAATTATTGAAAAAACAAAAGAATAGAATTATATGGCATTTATGTTGTCTCATAGAGTACAGTTAGCACTATTCATATCAAAAGTTTAAAGAAAAAATTTGGAGCCGTTTTTGAGGAAACCTTGTTTGTTTTTTGTTTTTTTATTTGAACATATCACGCAAAAACTACTAGAATTTTCAAAGAAATGTGCATGACCTCAATGAAAGAACTCGTTATGGAGAACAAATTTTATTTGAAGGAAAAATCTTTCTTCAATTTTGTAATTGTTGGAAGATGGTGAAATAATTCAAAAGTTCGCAATTTTCGAAAATTCAGTTAACTGTAAAACTCTAACCTATGCCACTTTTATAAGTATAGTTTACTCTATTCTTACTAGAAATTTAAAGAAATAATTTGGAGCCGTCTTTAAGAAAATTTTGAAAATGTCCCTGGGGCTTCATGTTAAGTACTCCCAATTTTGGACAAAAGTTTTTCAAAATCGTGGCCCCTTGTGTGGAGCCAGATCAACTGGAGAATATCCATTCTGAGAAAAGATTGTACGTTTTGTCTAGATGTTAGTGGTGTTCACAGACTAATGGAGGAACGTTTTGCCATCAATTGGTTTTTCAGTAACGGTATTTTGGCTACACCACGTGTTAGAGGATTTTTCCTCCTTAATTTAGCTACTTGATTTATCCACTTTTTTATTATAATGGACTGACAATGAATTTTTTTCCTGCCAATTCGCATTTTTTTCATGCAGCATTACATAGCTTTCCCTATACTACATACATTACTCTGTAATGTACATATAATGTATGTATGCAGGAAAGTAAAAAAGTGTATATTGAACAATGTGGAATCATATCACATGCCTGCAAATTTAAAGGTCATAGAAACTTTTTCAAAAATTTAATATGAAATATATATTTTTTAGTGCTCATTTCATATCTGAGCTCTGTTTTTTCCCATCATGCACCATTTGTTTCAAATTTTTTTAGCTAACCAACATTACATTATCATGTTAATTAAGGATATATGAAAAATAAAACAGTTTTCTAGCACATAATACACACAATTTGTATTCTAAAAATAATTTTTAATTTCTAAAAACATTATTTAAGTGTCTTGTAAAATCTTTTTTCTCTTCTGTGAAGCTCTGCATATTACTCTTCCTTTCAAGTATGCCCTGTGACATGTACCGACAGAGCATCCAGCAGTAGTTGCCCATCATGTTTACGTTCTATCGACCCTGATATCTCTTTTCTATCTCCTTAATATCTTGGTGAAAATGTTCACCTTCCTCGTCGCTCATTGCACTGTTTTTCAGGAAAGAAATCCAATTGTGCATGCAAGAAGTGAATCTTGGAACTCATCCAATATCCCAAATCTTTAAAGTTCAACATATTTTTAACAATGATTGCAAAATCCGAGTCTTTCTTGTTTCCTAGGAAGTTCTTAACTACTCTTTCAAAGGAAATCTAAGGTTGTTTTTAAGCATCTGTGATCAGGGCGGTAAATTCAAAGACATGTCTTCTAATGTCTGGTCCAACGAAAATTCCTTCCTTTATCTTGGCTTCTGAGAGGTGTGGGAACTAATCACAGAGATGTTAAAAGCACATCCCATTTCTTGGCAAAGCTATAGTTAGCTGTTTCATATGCACAGGTGGTAGCAGTATTTTCTTTGTAACAATGAGACCTTTCCTTAAAATATTCTTTAAAATATACTTTGTGGTTGTGAAGTAGTTCTTGGGAGCCATTCTGATTAGTCCCTGTGGTTCACTCTCACACGTCTGTCCTGTTCACAAAGAAAACAAGGAAACTGTGTACTTAGACTGTGGCCCAAGAAGCTTGCCCAAAATCTTCAGATCTCCACATATCACCCAGACGTGAGTGTCTTACTGTATTTTATAGTAAGGATCAGTGCACGATTTTCACAAGTTTTTTTGAGGTGAACTGAATGCCCCATGGATATTGAAGCATATTCGTTGCCATTGTGTAATAGCACTGTTTTTAAACTTTTTTTAATGAATCCTTGAAAAGTTGCCTGTTATCCAGTTTCTTTGCATATCTATCTTGGATGTCTCTTGTTGACACCCTCATCTCATACTACGAACAGGTTCATACTGCCATGTGGAGGGAAAACTGTAGAAATTGTCTCACCAGTTTATAGATGGCGTGAATTACAATTGCGTACAATTGCTGCCTTTAGGAAAACTGCAAATTCTATCACCAGTTCATAGATGGCGTCACTAAACTGAATGCTAAATACAGAAAGCTGCCAGTGACCTATTACACAATTAAAGTCAGTTTGTGAAAAAACTGTGTGTGATGGAGTATTTTTAGTTATATTTTCGATTACAGTGTACAAAAATACATTAGGGACTGTTGAAATTTTTAAAAAATTTTTTTTATTGCAGGTCCATGTAATTAGAAAGAAATGATGTGATGATATATATATATATATATATGTGTGTATATATATATATATATATGTGTGTGTATATATATATATATATATATATAAAACAATGACTGACATTGTTTATATTTTTGTTCTTGTTTTCATTCAGTAAATTCTAATTTACTGTTTAGGTATTTAGGGACTTTACCGACAGCAATTTATAATTACTTGACTGGAGTGAACTCTCTTATATTTAAATTTTTTAACTAATTCAGTCTAATAAATATGGATTACACAATCTGTAAGCCTCTTGAGTTAGAATAACCATACAACTAAGTCGTTTATTTAGTATTTACAGCAAGGATTAGGAAATGTTTCATTGTTACATCCAAATAAAAAATGTGAAAATTCTTTATATTTGCAGGAATTAATGTCCCAATTATCAGTTCAAGATCAACTGGAAGTTGATAAATTGAATGATGACATTCGAAGACTTACCCAAGAAAATAAAGAAGCTTTTAGTACAAGAATGCGACTTGAAGCTGAAAAAAATAAGTTGGAAAATCTTCTAACTAATAATCTCATGCGTCGTCATGATGAATTGATGCAGGCTTTGCAAGAAATTTCTGTTGAAGATCGAAAGAGACAGTTGGATAACAGCAAATCTGAGTTAACAGCAATTGAAAAGAGACTGGACGAAGTGTCACGTGAGTGCAAAAATATGGAGAAACAAGTGCAGGAGGCAACGAAAATGGTAAATTTTTTTCTCCCTTTTTCCTTCTTTCTTTATTATTATTATTATTATTATTATTATTATTATTATTATTATTATTATTATTATTTATTATAGTTTGTATTGTTTTCTAAAATTTCTGTTATTTTAGCAAAAAACTGAACAAGCCGCTCAAGATAAGTGGAAATCAAAAGAAAAGGAGATTCAAGAAAAAATAGAAGAAGATGCCAAAGATCTTGAGAAAATGGCATCAAAACAGAATATGTTGCAACAAAAAATTCAAGATTGTACAAAAAAAATCCAAGATTTAGGATCTTTACCATCTCCTGACATATACACCAAATATCAGAGTTTTTCTACAAAGAGCGTGAGTTATTACTGTTTTGATTGTTCTGTATCTGACTTTTCTGTTTATGTATAATGTTACCTATGCAGGTTTCCCTGACTCCACTCTGCTCCCTCTCTTTAAACTATAACTCTACTAAACTTTAACTCCATAAACATTTAAATTATACATTAAAACTAGTAGCAAGCTTTGCTGGCATCTAGTTTTGTAATGTAAAATAAGGGCCCTCGTTTTAAAAGTAATTTGCAGAGCAATTGAGCATAGATTTTGATTTTCCAGTATTGATGGAACACTAGTGTCTGACATAATAAAAACCACATATGATGTCACAGAGATAGCAGTGCTGTTGCTTCTGCAGCATCACTGACCCAAGGGGACCTAGAGTTGGGGTCCTGATGGCAGATTTTTGACACTATATACATAGCTAGGACAAATTCAGCTAAGGAGAATTCTAAAGTCTTGGTGCTCTGACCAGTACTTTCCATGGTATCTCCTATCAGTACCAGGTTACTGCCAGAGCAGTACTCTAATGAACAGGGTATGGATTGTACACAATCTTTCCTCCCTCATCCTTGATCCCTTCCTCCCTCCGCACACTTACAAAAACTACCTGTGCACAAGTCAGGACTTTAAAACTTGTCCCGGCTAGGTGCCTGTTTCTAACTACTTATGCTTCAACCTCCAAAATTGGAATAGATTCCAAAAAGGTCTCATTTTGAAGAATGTATAACTGGGTTTTAAGACACTAGAAGACACTGTTTTTAAGTTATATTCAATGCATCATGATAATATGTGTTGCGGAATGATTGTGCACTTGCTGATTCATTGGATGCTCTAAAAAATTGTACATTTTTCATCAAATCTGTTTGATACTCTATTTTTGTATTACATGTAGAGATGTTTGGGAAATATTGTAGGACAACAAATTGAGTCTCTTTTGAATCTGTCTAATCATTTAGTATGATGAGATACGATATGTTCTTCTATGTTTCGTATTAATGAGTGTTCTCTATTACCTTTGATGGAACCAACTTCTATTTCTTGCAGTTGTTCAAGGAATTAGAGAAAGCAAATGGACATTTGAAGAAGTATAGCCATGTAAACAAGAAGGCTTTAGATCAGTTTATGAGCTTTTCAGAACAGAAAGATAAATTAGTGAAGAGGAAGGAGGAATTAGATAGAGGGTAAACAAATGTTTCCTTTTATTAATTTATTGATGCAGTGAATTGAGATGTTAACACAGATTTTCACTCTTTCAGTGATGAAAAAATTAAAGAGTTGATGAATGTGTTGGAGCAGAGAAAATATGAAGCCATTGAATTCACCTTCAAACAAGTCTCAAAAAATTTCAGTGAAGTTTTCCACAAGTTGGTACCTTCAGGGCATGCACAGTTGGTCATGAAAAAGAGTGAAGAAGAAGGTGGTGAACAACAAGGAGTATGTTCTTGTTTCATATTTGTCAGATGCTTTCAAAGAGAAACAACAAGCTCTTCTCAAATGTATGGTGCTGAACATTGCTATTCTTCTTTTTAAGGAGGGTGACTCGGACAAATTTACAGGAGTAGGTATTCGTGTGTCCTTTACTGGTCGCAATGCGGAAATGCGAGAAATGAACCAGCTTTCTGGAGGACAAAAATCTCTGGTTGCTCTTGGACTTATTTTTGCCATTCAGAAGTGTGATCCTGCACCTTTTTATCTTTTTGATGAAATTGATCAGGTGAATAAATACTATTTAGTCTATTACATTTTGAAACATGAAAGTGGGATATGTATTCTTTTAATCTGTTTCATTTTACTTGGTCAAAGCTTTCAATCAATCAGAAAGCTTTAAATCTTCCATCACATGTCACATTTTATGATTTGCATTTGAAGCTTTGATAATGCCTTTGTAAGTTGAACATTGATACTTGATATTCAGTTAACATATTTGGAAGAATTCCTATGTTCAAAAATGATTTGTATGTTTTAAGTTACTGCAAATTCAAAACTGAAGTTGAAAACTATTAAAAGTTATCATTATGAAATATACATTAACTCTGTTCCTTTTGTTTTAACCCCAAAATATAATATAAATTTTGTGTATGCTGACACTAATTGCCATTCATCATAAACATATTATTTATATAAACATATATTTAAATAAATAATATTCTAAGAAATATATTGCAAACATAAATGCTAAACTATCGTTTCTATTTGTTTGTTTTTGTGTTGGAAAATGGTGATTTTGTGTATTATTCCTGAGTTTTATTTCTTTGCCTCTAGTCATAAAATAGTGTAAGGTAGAAATAAAATGTATGAGAGTTTCACATTTTCAGTATGATTATTGCCATTTTACAAAGTATGCTTCTTGCAGGCCTTGGATTCACAACATAGAACAGCTGTTGCTGAAATGATTCACGAGTTGTCCAAAGATGCTCAATTTATTACAACTACCTTCAGACCAGAGTTGCTCGTTCATGCCAACAAATTTTATGGTGTTAAATTTCGTAATAAGGTAAATGTTACAAATGAAAGGGCATTATGTGTATATACTAAATAATGATGCCAAAACTTTGTTCTGCCTCTTAGGTTCCATCTCTAATCATACTCTTCTGAATGTCATCCTTATACCAAACCTCTTACTATTCACTCTCCCAATTATATTCTCTAATCATTAATATTCACAAACATTCATTACTATGTTTCTGATGTTCATATGTTCTCTGATTTCTCATCTCCATATCTTAATCATCACCTTCAATTCGTAGTGCATTAACATTCAAATATCCTAATCCTAAACTCCTAAGGTAACTCTATCTGTGATACACAAAATTCTTGGTGATTCCTGTTTCAAAAGTCATTACAGAAACCCTTAGCAAAGGGGTAAATTCTTATTGGATTTATTGAAAAGTACAAAATTTGTAGAAAGTAAAATTTTATTTTCATTCAGTTACGAACAAAAATGTGAAACTGTTCTATCAGAACAGTAATGAAATTTTACTATAAGAACAAACTCAGATTTTTGTAATATTGAAATGTGATAATATTATTTTATGGTGTCTGTTTTTCTGTATCCTGAAATGTTCAATTAAGTAATCTTTAGGCTCTTAGCTTGCATTAACCATTTTACACATCTGATCAAGTAGAGACAAATTAAAATAGATCAGACAAAATTAATGTTATCAAATAAGTAATAAAATGGTGAAAACCAAGCAATACAATTTGTAGTTTGTAATAGGGAAATATCTTAACCACCAAAACATTTAAGGCGTAATGATTATATTGTTAATTTCGTAGAATTGTCAGGTAATTTCAAAGAATTGTGCTCGATGAATTTATCTTGATTCACTAGTCATTGTGAATGTTTAATACCTAGTAAGACATATTCCTTTTCCTCTGTGTTCTGTTGCTGTTATTGCTATGGTAAAAATAGGGTACACATTTTTTTAAAATTTATTTCACCTCAAAGTCACATCTCCCAATGATGGTCAACTTTATTAAGATTGTGTTATACTGCCTAAAAAATGTTATGGAGATATTATTGGTATGTCTGAATAATAGTGCTTCAGTGTTTGAGTGTCTGATATTGTTACAGGTGAGCCATGTTGAATGTGTTACAAGAGAAGTTGCAAGAGACTTCGTTGAAGACGATACAACTCAGGGGTAATCCAAGTTGTGTGGTTTACTGTTTCATCTGTACAAATAATTATTAAATGAGAGACATTTTATCGAGTGAAGTGCAAGCTATTTTTAAATCTGTCAGCTTCTGCTATTTGTGCACAATTGTTTTAGATTTTTTAATACTTTCCCTTGATTAGATTTTTGAATGTAATCAACAGTGTCTTGACATTGCTTAAGCAAGCAGTGCATTGCATAAGCCAGTGCAGCCCTTTACTGTGTTAAATGGTTGTGGTGGGTCTTCTGGGCCTGAAACACATTTGCAGACCCCTTTTCAAATTGTGACTTTAGCTTCCCATGGTGCTGACAATTTTAGTTCACTAAAATTTTTTGCATTTTATTTATTTTCAGAAGTATTTGTATTTGCATGTATCTTTTAGATGTAACCTCGTGTGCACCATTATGTTCGAGAAGCAAGTGACTCGCACTCACTTCGACTTCTCACTTTAGTTTCTCTGTGTATTATGTATAATTGCACAATATAGCCTTTGAGTCTCAGATGCCTTTGTGGCATATTTAATTTGTGGATGGTTGCCTGGTATGTTTGTCAATTTCATGACACATGCAAATACTTCATAAGTTTTAATTTTCATGTGCAGTTTACTGATCTATTGAAATTGTGTCAAATTGCAATTTATATCTACATAATTATTCATTTTATCGAAGTTTTAAATATGCCCAGAAATAGAGTAAGAGTGTATGAGCTTAGTAAAACAGCTCCTGAAATGTCTGACTTTAGAAATGTTGCTTGACATCCAAAATATTGAGTTTATAATGTTTTATTGTATTAAAAATACATGAGAAATTGTTTTGTACAACCGTTTGGTCATTGAAAGTCAAAATGTTACCCTCCCAACCTCCCCTTTCCTACTTTTGTTTTCCTGTTCCGGTAGCGCTTTGACTAAGTTTCGCGCGTCGCTGAAGACGAAACAACCTGCTGCTGCTGCTCCTGCCAGTCAGCTCCCGCCGTACTGTTCTTGGAGGGTGGATCCTAGCACCACGTTGCCAAGTTGCAATACGGCTGGTTATGTCGTAAGAAAAGAAATGTTTTCACAGTGCATGTTTAAAACAAAAGCTTTGTTGTCCATTTTTCCGTTCTAGTTGATTCCAAAAGTTCAGCGGGAAGAATTTAAATTATAATTGTAGGGTATCGTATTTTTTAAGACTGGCAGGCGGCAGCGCTCGTAGTATCTACCAGGCTAGGGAAACTTGGCGGTCAAAACGGGGTAATGATTTTTGCGCCATCTACAACAGTTCCGTAGTGAGCCGAACTAAACTTGTGACGTCATGCAATTCAAAAAGCTGGCAATGTAGGCAGTGTTTGTTTTTCGTTACGTGCAGGCTGCAAGCAGGTAGGTGCTCTTTTTTATCGATTTTTTCAGCATTTTGTTAGTATGTAGAATGTCATGTATTGTAAATAGAGTGAATTGTGTCGCGATCTTTATTTGTCATGTCTAAAACTTTGTTTTCAGTATTTTGGAAGATATTAAGAAAACAGGTGCTAGACAAGTACATTGCAAGGATTTTCGCCCTACCAGCACTGGAGGTATTTATAATTCATTTTGGAATCTTGTTGCATAATTGTAATTGATTATTTCATTTGTGAACATTTACACCATGCAAAATAGTCTTTAAAATCCGTAAATCCATGTAGTATAACCTAACCTGTACATGTCATTTATCCTGTTCTATTTGTTTAGAAGTATTGTAATTATATTATTTCGTATGGTATTAGACAAGTTTTGTAATATGTCCATTGTATATCCTTTGTTTGCAATACTCTGGCATTCAAAATGTCTCATTTTAAAATATATGTAATTCATTATTGTTTGCATTTCTAGAATAGGTACACTCATTAGTGTATGATGAAAATGTAATTAATTTTATTTGCTTAGGTGGACGAGTTACGTTTCCATTCTGGAGGTGATCTTCGAGTTGCAGTATGATAACTGGCAAGATATAAACGAATTTGACTTCACTAACATTAGAAAATGGAATTGTATCAACAGTGTTTCCTACAATCCCAGCCGTCTTGTCTTCTCAAAGAACATTTCAAGAAAATCTTATTACAAAGTGTGCCAGTGAAATCTTTTTTTCCCTTGATGCTGCTAGTCTCGATGATATTGTAGACAAATATATTATTTCAGCAATATATGTATATATCAAATAATAATTGCCTTGTTTAGAAAAACTTGCCTAACAAGTACTGGAAATATATTAATAAATAATCAATACAATTTTGAATGTGAGCAATTAAAAAACTTTTGTTTTGGAATGTGTAATAAAAGAACTGTGTGTAATAAATAATATTAAAAAACTTCAATCACTAGAAAATAATTTTGCTGGCATTGATTCATACTCTTTGTCCCCGCTGCGTTATGCAAATTTAGTTTCAAAGGCAAGTTTTCTTGCTTCGCTCGCTTGGATCCAAGTCACAGCGAGGCTCGGTCCTTTGGCCTTCGTGTTCACTATAAACATCCTTGAGTCTATCCAATGCATAATTACCAATTCACTTTTATAAGAAAGCACTTTTTCAAGAAAGTCTCCACAATTCAAACTGCGCAATTGACGCTGGAGCAGCATGAAGTGCCAGCAAAATTTATTCTTCTTGTGAATCACGAGAAACAGTGGACCAAAGGAACTGGTGCCGCCCTAAACTCCGGATAACATAAATAAATAATACCAACACCAATGGGTATAATACTTTTTTGGATGTTTCACATCAGTGCTACATAATGTTAATATTGTAGATGATTTTTAATTAAATGTAGCCAAATTTGAATTGGTAAATGAATCATCTGAACAATAAATCTTGTAATAATATTATTGATAATTATAGTAAAAATCTAATCCAATTTTTCTACATATACCGTTAAAATTTTGTCATCCATAACAATTCAATATTGTTTTGCCCATGTGTAGGTTTCAATGAGGATAGTTTATGTGTGGACTTTGTGGAAATAGACATGATGCGCAGTAACCAATCAGATAGCCATAGAAAATGAAAAATCTTGTATTGCAGCTTAAACAGAAGAAATCTGTGCCAATTGTTCATTTTAAAGTTAAGATTGCCTAAAACTTGAGAGAAACAGGCCAAATTAAAATTGTTATATCTTCCACAAATTTTCATTTCATAAAAGATTTTTTTTGTAAACAATGCAAATTCCCTCTTTAATCCCAGAACACTAAGCATATTTACTCGTATGTTATTACTAACTACAAGACGAATCAACTTGCCAAACATAAAACTCGTATAATTTATAAATGTGTTTCATTTTCCTTGTTTTTCAAAGACATAACCAAAATAGTCACAGTACCAATGATTGATATTGTATCAAAATTACTATTTTCGCTAAAAAATGTCACCAAAAATTAAGGCTGGTATGATTTCAATCATAATTTAAATAAAATGATAGTTATTTAAAAATCAGTTATTTAAGAAATTTTTCAAATATTACGATAATGTAATGATCAAATTAAAACTTCGTTTTCACTTTTTTTTTTGCTTTAAGTAATTAAGGATAAATAAATCACTTTACAATTTTGGTTTTAAATAAACACATCTAATACATTTAAAAATATTATTTAAATCAAGTTAATCTGAATCGTAAGAAAAGCAGATAATACTTTTGGATGTTCTCTACACGCACCACAATTAATTCGCACAACCTTACTTGCGCGCCAAAACGCAACAGCTGCGCTATCTGCACCAGGCCCGTGACTGAGGTAACTTAGTCCCCCCGCCTTTTAACATTGAGTAAACCAAAGAGTATATATATGGAGTAAACCGGCCCTGGTATCTACTTGTTGGCAGACAGGAGGGAACAGCGGTGGGTTGTGGGTCGTAACCCGAATGTCAAATAGTACGATATATTAATTGTGAACAGCGAATATGATCATCGGGAAGCTTCCTTTAATGAATCAGTAGTGAATGTCGTGTTTGTGTTTCGTCGTGAATGTTCGATGCTAATAATGGAAACTGAAACGCCATTCAAAGAGGGATATTTACTCTTCCCTCCTCATGGAGTTTTGGGACATTTGAAGGTAATTATAATTAATTTAGACCTGTGGAAATGTATCTATAGCAGGTGAATATGAATTTACGCATATTTATATTTTTAAGATTAAAACATTAAGTGGTGTGTATAAGAAGTCTTATCGTGCAGGATGTTGAGGTTAATAGAACAAGGAAGTTTGTCTTGACAGCTCGAAATTTACCGAGTAACGATGTATTTCTAAAATAGAAACGCGACGTTGTCAGCTAGTAGCCACTTCATTACTTAAAAATTTTTAAATTTTCAATAAGTACCCGTGTTTCAAAATTTATTAATGGGAAATGTGAATGGTTTTTACCTGCATAGATTTATTTTCTCAACATTGTTTATGTTGAATGTGGTGTTTTTAAAGGTATTTTCTTTTCCAGAAATCTTGGCATAAAAGATATTGTCAATTGTTCAAGTCCAGTAAACATGGCATTGAGCGATTGGAAGTCTTTGATAGTGAAGATGATCTTTGGAAAACCTCTACAGTTCGAATCATCACCCTTGAGAATTGTATTAAAATCACACAAGATGTTCATAAACATCCTAATGTTTTTACTGTAAGTTTCATTTGTACTTGGAATTTTAGTTTACTGAACTAGAGCAAGTGTACCATTTCTTTTTTTTTTTTTTTAATTTTTTTTTTAATGTTTGGTAGTATTCACTGACACATAAAGATTTCATTTAATACTTACTTATCCATTATTAGATTGTTGTATTGAAATCTCTAAGTAAATGGAGAACTGTTATTACTTGTATTAAATATTTATATTTGTATTTTTTTGTTGTTACTAATCTGTCTCCAAGCTCATTTGCAGGAAAAAATTATTATTCGTCGCTATTTTCCTACAAATGTTTTCTTGTTTTTCCTTCAATTTCTGTGTTTACTGTTAGTGATTTTGTTTTTAAGTTAGTGTGTGAGAACCTTCCTGATTCTGTGTGAAATGATTGAATGAATGCATTTCTGTTGATTATAAGTTGTTGAATTTTATGAAAGTGCTGTTACATCACATATTATTCTCATAAGCATTAATGTGACATTTACTGGTAGTAACTTAAGAAAAACCTGAAAAAATCTCACAATATTTTCATTACTTATTGTACAAAAAAAAAATGTTTTTCCAATAGATAATTACCAAGACCAGCATTCACCATTTTGGAACTCAAACTGAGAAAGAATTGACTGACTGGATTACAGCATTCCAATCCATAGCTTTTAAAGATAATATCTCCAAGCATACAATTGAAGAAGACAATGAACTGTACTGCTCTTCTGCTGATGGTAAGTGTTATTTTGTCTAATTTGGCTATGTAAAATTTATACAGAACCAGAATTTTTTTTTTATCGATAGTTTTTATCTCAAAGTTTCATGGTAATGTAAAATCAAAGAATAATATACTGACATAAGATCATTAATTTAACAAAGAAGCATGTTGTTTGTGGTGAAGTATTTTGATTCTTTATTGATAAAAATATTTGCAATTCTGAGTGTAAAATGCTCTCTTTGGAAGCCTAACAGTGAAGATTTATTGCACAAGTCTTTCATTTGTGATATTTTATTAATTCCCTGATTGATTATATTAACAGGAGTCTTCACTGTGAAACTTGTTCCATCAGAGGCTTCCATACGATGTAATCTAGAACCTGTGAACTATGTGCTGATTATAGCATCTTCATCTATACAGTTAAGAAGCTGTAATGACCATAGACTGTTATGCACATGGCCATTTCGTTACATTCGGCGTTACGGTTACAGAGAGGGCAAATTTACTTTTGAGGCTGGACGCAAGTGTGATACTGGAGAAGGGACTTTTCATCTTGAACATTCTAATCAGCAGGACATATTTCGTTGTATGTCCACTAAGATGAAACATATGCGTAAACTATTGAGTGGAGAAACAGCCCAGTCACCCGTTATTGTGTGTGGAGATAATCAATTTCAAGCTGCACTTAGCATGGAGGCAAGGTCTCGAAGCCCACTCCCTCCTTCCCCAACAAGTGCCACATCATATGGAGATTTAACCAGTGTGTCTCTGTCACAATCGAGCAAACTTTCTGCAGCTGACTCGTCTGTTATCAGTGCTCCTGTTCCTCCTAAGCCAAAGCCTGTGAAGCCACCTCGAAAATCACTTATTTTGGCTCAAAGTGGGAAGAGTGAAGATTCTTTAATTGATGGTTGTGGATTTGGAAAAATGAAAATGGTTCCTTCTAGTGAAAATTGTGTTCTCCCATTATCAAATGCTTCAGTTTTGACATGCAATTCTTCCATATTTCCTAGCAGTTCGTATTCAGTTTTAGAAGGTAATAATAGTGGTTTTGATGGATATGATAAAGTTGAGGTGAGAAGGGAAGCCTGGCGTACAATGGGAGTTGTTGATGTCAGTCATTCAGAGAAACCCTACCTGGAAAGTGATATAGAAGAGGATGGATTGGAATCCATTTTGAAGCATAGTGGAGGTCATTCCCATAATGATGATTCATTTCTCAAGAATCAGGGGTCAAAAATTCTTCTTCCTCAGATGTCACATAAATCTGATGCTTCAGAAAATTATGATACTCTTCAACATTTTGGATCTACGTCTCGACTGAACACTAACCCAGGATACAGACACATTCCTAGCATATTTCCAGTTACAAGTGGTAGTACTGAAGTTTTATCACAACCACCTTCTACACAAAGCGATTACGAAGATGTAGTAAATAGCATGCAAGCCTGTCGCATGGCAGATGATTCCCATTATGGTTATGGAATGATAAGAAAAAAATCAAATCCAAATGAAAATGACAACGAAAGTGTGGGACCTAATCATAAAGTGTATAATGAGCTTGAGTATGCAATTGTTCAAAAGCAAAAAAAGGTTTAAGTCAAACCTGCATTCCTCTGTGATACTTCTAATTGAACGTTACTCTTGTGCTTAATGTAAAAGTTCCTTTTCTATATTTAGCATTCTGTTTTGGCAGGTCATTTTAATACTGACTGATCAGCAATTGTTTATCAATTTAAAATACAATATATCTTATGTAATTTAACCTTTGTAGACTCGGAGTTATAGAGCATACTTTTGTCTGTAAGTGTAAATCAAAATTGTGTGTGAAGTTGATAATTTTGGTTTTGAAAAACGATTGGTGGAAAATATTAAGAAATACTGGATGACAAGATTTGCATCACAACTCGAGTCACTTTACATTTCATTTTAATTTTTAATCAATCTTTTAGGGATGATTGAAAGTTGTGGCTTAATTGCATTAATTTGTAGTGTTTCCATGTGATAAGTCACTTGCAAATACTTTCCTAGTGAAGTAACAATCCAGTTAATAAGACCAACTCCTACAAGGTTTGTTCTAAAATAGTACTGTGCTAGAATTACATTATCAAGGATGTCCACTTTACGGAAAACCAGGGAAAGTTGGGAAAGTTCTTTGGTCTGAAAAAGTTTGTGAAAGAATCAGAGAATTTGAAGAAAGAAAAAAAGAAACTTAAAAAGTCTGGAAAATTTTTGAGGCAATTCTAATTTTAGATTTTATTCCTTAAAAAATTAATACACTGGCCTTGCTTTTGTAATGTGTAAGCAGTAGTATGAAATATGGAACAAGGGGGGGGGGGGGAGTTTTGGAACGGTCGGAAATGAATTTCAGGAAAAGAGAGGCTACCCTGATTATTCATCGTTATTTGTCATGTATAGGAGACTAATATGTGCCAAAATGACAACTGGCTCTCTTTAAACAGTTTCTTCATAATAGGTACCTGCCAATGATAATAGTATAATAATTACATATGAATTTTTAATAGTAATTTAAGAAACATTTGTCAATTCTTATCTAAAACAAATTATTAACTTTTCTTGTGGGATGTTCATGGTCTGAAATAATTATTTCATGATTTGACATTTTAAAAATGTTGTGTAAATTTTATGGAAATTAAGGAAACTATTGTGATGTAATTTAATTTGAAAGGTGTGTTTTTCTTGTGTGGGTATGTTAGATTGCCCATTTCTGGTATTGGAGGATCTTGAATATTCTTTCAGTTCAGGAAAAAAGGTTTAATCTAACAGTATTTCAGTTTTCTGAAATTAAGCTGTTTTTTTGTAAATGATAGAATGTTTGTTTTGTATTTGTGTAGTGAATTTCTGATTTTTAAGAATTTTTAGTTTGTAAATTTATTGTATACGTTGCTCTGATAGTTCGGAACTTAAAAGATATTTTCATTGCTCTGTTCTAAACAAGTTTCAGTTGTTTTATTTTTAAAAAAAAAAGCGCTATGAGAGAAGGGCTAAGCAGGAAGTATTTGTGATGTCAGAATATTAGGCTTTTTCTTCTATGTTGACCTTCACTAACTGAATCTGTAACTGAAAGTTAAAGTAAGAGAAGACGGATATTCTTTGTTGCTACTCTCCAAAGTCCACTTATTCATTTAGACTGGTGGAATAACACTTTTGTGTATCATTTGATGGATCTGTTCATTGGATCTCCACAAGCCGTTGTTCCTTGTAATGATGTGTATATACATATATATAATCTCATTAAAATGAGAGTAAGATATTTAAAAGTATTATACTTATATTATGCTTTAGAGAATTTCATTTATTCTTAATCAGTAATTGTATGTTTTAGTTTAGGTCCTGTAAATGAGATACTCGTCAGGGAAATCAAAATGTGCTCCATTCTATTGTTATTTTATCAAAAGTAGACTCTGATAGATAAGATAAAATTCAACATTCCAAATGGGGTAGATGTTGCATTATATAAAAAACATAAGAATAAAATTCATAGATAATAATGCCCAAAATAAAAGCCAGTTTTAATCTGCCATTTATTCTCATCTAAATATCTGTTCCATTAATTTTAATATTTTGAGAAGTTGAATTTTTCTGATTGGAGCGTTCGAATGATTTTAGTGTACATTTCAACCAACCACTTTTAAAGTGTAAATTAGTAGTAAGCTTGAGAAAGACAGTCATCGGACATTGTGTCCGCTCTTTACTCCAAAAAAGAATACTGATGATTGATTCTATTTTCATGTCAGGTAAAAGTTACATGAATTTTGTGATAGATTCCTGGCAAAATATGGCTGCATATGTTGATCAAATAGTGTTACTCAGAGGGGATGAAAGAGTCAAAAAAGAGATGTCTGATAGTTACCGTTGAACGATAAGGTTAATATTAAATTTACCCCCTTCTACAAATAAGTATTTTATTTGTATGTTACCAGTAACATGTGATTTTCATTATGCTTTGTTTTCCAGGAATATTTAATTTTACTGGATATAACAATTCTTTTTATGTAGTTTATGATAAATGTTTTAAAATTTCTGGTGCTATGTTGCCTATGGACCAAAGATATTGATCATTTAACCATTAGTGACAACCATAGGGATTGAGGAATGTGTTCCACAATACTATTTTTGGTGCCTCAGTGCTGTAGTGAAATTCCAGGTTTTCATACACGTTGGAAGCCAATGAATAATGTGCCACAAAATATTAATATAGGAGTAATTGAATACTTTTATATTTGTATTGAATCTTTTTGAACTTTTATAAGATCTTTTTACTAATTTTTAAATATATTCAAGTACTTAGACTGGTGATTTTCAAAATGCTGTTTCTTGTTACACGATTTTGAAAATGTGTAGATAAAATTGAATATATAATTATTCTCAAAACTATGAATATGCTCAATTTTTAAAGTAAAATATTGATATGTCATAAATAATGCAGCACGCAAAGAAATTAGTTATATCTGTATAAGAATAAATTTAAAACAACTATTGTATTTGATGATCAATTACCTTACTAGAGTAAATTGAGATGAGACTAGAGCCTTTTTATAAAGTTGTTTGTTGAGAGTTGTTTCGTAGTGGTTACGTCAATAGAATGCTTAGGTGTGAATTCACACCAAACAGGTTTCAGTTGTGAGTTTAAAAGATAAAATGGGAGTTTAGAGAAATTATTGGAAGAGAGATTCCTATTTTTATTATCTTTCTTTTCTATGATAAAGAATTTTAATAATTTTACAGTTGATAGATTTCTTGATATGCTTGTTTTTATTTTAAATTTTTTAGTTATTGTAGTCATGAAAATTATTTCCCCAAGTGTGTCAAAAATCTTTAAAACATAGTCTATAATTTATATGCATTGCATGTTCTTAAGCTGTATGTTGCATGCAGTAGTGTATACTCTAATAATTTTGTTAATGCCATATTGCTCAATAATTTGATGAAAACTCCTTTTTTTTAAAAAAAAAAAAAAATAATTTCTCAAAAATTGAAAAAAAAGTTATTGTGGTATTGTTATGTTTGAATCAGAACTTTTATAAAAGAGCTACTCAATTAAAGAAAGAAAAGAAAAAAAGTATAAATACATTTTTTTCTTGATCCAAAATTTCTGTTGAGGAAATCAGTAATAGTGCAATCAACTTGAGTTATTGTACATGACTAAATCTATAGCTCATCTGAAAAAGGATTTAATTTTCTAAAAAAAATTGTTTCTATTGAAATACATTGAACTTTTTTAACTCTCACACTCAATTTACTCTTGTGATGTCTTGTTTTTATGATTGTAGCAACTTATATGTTGTTGCTTTGCATAATGTATGAAAATCACCAATTTTGACTGATTAGAAGTTATCAAATGGCCATGAAGTACTGAAAAGATATTTTGATTGAAATGCCATGCCATTTACAAGTGATAAGTTTAAATGTTGAAGTTGGTGTGTGTATTTTTATAATGTTATTTCCATACATTGCAATAAAGATGTATTTGAGATATTTTTAAACAAATTTCTTACTTTTAACAGGTATCCACCTTGTCCCCACTGTAGATTTCTCACGCATATACTCTTTAGCTGGTCTTTGTTCCTTGCAAATCCTTTGCGTAATACAATGTCTATTAATGCAGTTATTGTGAAGAACGCGAATAAAATGGATTTCTCAGTCTTTTCAAAAAAATGCCCATGAACTTCTTTAAACATTCAATGTTAACTAAGAATGGGGAAGCCAAAAGGGGGGAGGGGGGAGACATTGACAGACACGGATGCGATGACGAAAGACGTGGAAGTGGATCATTGTTGGTGTTTCAGGCAAAGTTAGTGGGAGACATTACACCTGTTAGTTTTCTTCCAATTTGGGAAGATATGTTTCTCTTGGTAGATACTGGAACAATGGCCATGTGTTTAGTGTAATCGAAAGGACTAGTGTGTTAAAAAGTTCAACTTGCAGAAACATTACGCAGCTTTGCGTCCTAGAGAGATAAAAATAATTTCTGAGAATTTACCGATTGTCCGCAATCACGTGGTGAGTAAAGGATTTTGCAGATAGAAAATTATTGTAACGGTACTGTAAATCACTAGGATTTACAACATTCTGAAGCAAAATTGTAGGTACATGAAATAAGCTGAAGGTCCAAATTCTCCCAAGTGACCCTTTCCGGATATCTACAGTTGACTACGGTTATAGTGAATAAACGTCAGTGGTCCCGTTTCACTTACGTTACAAATAAGCAAAAGATTTGGTTATAGTGAACTCTGAACCTCGGCCATAGTGAATGTGAAAATACAACGACCTGGAAATGAATTTCCTCCTGGAAAAAATATATCGCATCAGTGCCACAAATTCCAACGCATGCAGCTTGGAAGAAACGTCGACCAAATGTCATAATCGAAGAAGTCTCTTTTGAGGTGTAGGTAGCGGACCCGGAATAGAGACCTTATTGATGCCATTGTATCATTTGCATTTTGTATTGTGCCATTTAGTTTCACTGCGAAAACGAAGACCATGTGTCCTGGTTGGGCCATTACCGACACCTACCTCGTGGCAGCTATTTGGGTCGGGCAGTAAGGGATTTGCAATAGGAAACCGCCTCGCCACAGGAGGGAGAGTAGGTTTCTTTCCCCTAAAAGCAAGCACGCGACAAAGAGAGAGACGAGACATTGGGGTTCTCCGGTCTTAGGGAACGGAGATCCAAACCCCAGGGCAATGAGAAGTGCGCTGCGGAGGCGGCGTGACGTACGTCACGTGAGCCTCGAGTATATAAGGGAGTTCACAGAGCCAATAGGAGGTTTCGGGAGATAGTGGGAGAACCTCGTACAGATGCACAAACTTTGCGGTGCAGCGGCGAGCAGGGCTCGCGAGGCAAGTCACGTGTTGACGCGCCTGTGGGAACTTTGTGGTCTTGGGTAACTGCGGTCACGTGGGAGCGATGTTGTGTGCGTGGGAGGAGTGGTTGTGAGCCACGACTCGCACCGATTCTCAATCGGGTAAGATCGCTCCTGCGATCAAGGCAAACCATCAGTTGGTAAGTCGGTACGGACTTTGTGTTCTAATGTGACATCCTGTCACAGACGCTTGACTTTGTGCGCGCTTCAGATGAAGGAGTGGCGGGATCCACCATTGAAACCGATCGTCAATCGGGTTGGGATCGTTCCCGCGATCAGGGGATAGGTCTATCAGAGCTAGGGTGTAAAGTGTAAATTCATTGTAAATAATTGTTGTGTTTTTCTTGTAAATAAATATTTGTTAATATGAAAGCTTGTCTGTGTTCGCTGTGAGTATCCATGACGTCACAATAGTATAGTACTCTACAAAAATAGTAATATACAATAACAAATGTTTATTATTTAACAAAAATCTATGCCCCCCCCTAAAAAATGATCTGCTGGATCCGTCCTTGATCTTAGCATCTTCAAGCGATAGTTATGGGCAGCGATGGTTCCAGTGTATCGGCACGGGAGTTGAGTCAGCACTTCGAAAAAATCGAACTGCATAACTTCAATATTGATGTAGAGATATTTTACCTAAATTTGTTCTTATAAATCCATCATTAAATAAGGTCTTGTACATTTTTTTGAAAATACGAGGTTGGCATAATTTTTGATATCTTGAGTATTGTGTATATCAATATGTACTATTTTTACTTCGATCTTCCATGGATCCTAAGTATGGTAGTATTCGTGCTAGTGAGAACAATGTAAATACAATTCTAAAACAGACGGATTTTGAAATTATTTTTAAAAAACGGTGTAATTATTTTTCGAACTCTCCGCCTCAAATTTATGAAAGAAAATATACCTTTTTAGAGCGTACATTTCTTCTTGGAAAAAAAAGTTTGCTTGGGATTAATAGGAATACTACTTTTGAAATTGTTCAAAATGTGAGAATTGTTTGGAATAAAGGCTCTAGCCGGATAAGGTGGTGAAAAGTACCCTCGATTGAAATCGAAAGTACCATCTTTCCTAAGGATTGCGACCACGAATTGCATTTTTTTATGGACGTTTTAGATTCCTCCCCACTCAAGTCCTTCATACCAACGAAAAACGTGTTTTTTCTTCTTCATTGAATTGGCCGTATGAATTTCCATGGAAAATAATGCTTGTTTGTGCGACATTTTCTCACTTTTTCAAAAATAATTTCTAAATTTTTATTTGCCGCAAAATTCAAACTTTTAAATGGATTTGAAATTATTTTAAATAAAGTTATTATTCCGGCGGGTGCACGAGATAATTATCAAATGTTGCTCAAAAATCAGCCATCTTCTAGAATTGTTTTTGTGATTGGTGCGCCATGTTTAAAAAAATGAAAATACAAATTTTGGACCAATTTTGCGTATTTCCATGTAGTTATAACTACATAGAGGATTTTTTCAATATTATTTGTCTAGTGACATTATTTGCAATAAAATTCATAAAATTTACATTTTTTTAAAAATTACTTCAGAGGTTTGAAAAATTATCAATATCAGAAAATTGACTCTACATCTAAAATTCTCATTTAAATTAGTGATGTAAATTAACATAATAAATAGCTGGTAAAATAGATTTTGTATCATATATTTTTATGTAATTATTATATACTAGCATAAGTATCCCGCGTGGTCGGAGTATTTATCATAGGTAATACGAGTGCTTTGAAAATCGTCGATAAATTCCCAAAACATGAGTGGTATTTAATAGGACCATTTCACGAGTGAAATTATATCCAACAGAGTTCCAAAATGCGCCAAATATTGAAAATAACTGTTATCGTTTGTTAAAACCAGATATGTTATAGTACATACGCTGTTTATTGGACACCGACATAGCCATCGATGTATAACGTCTCCTATGATATGAGTCACTGTTTGATTGGCCAGTTGGTAGAAGCGGTAAGGAAAATCGAGTAGGAAACCGATACATTTTTTGAGATACACCGCCCTGATTGGGGCATTTTGTATGTATAGATAAATTTTATCGGTTTTAATTTCACGAGTGGAATAGTCACAATAATGTACAGGAAGAGGTATTCCATCTGTTCCCGCCCTTCCGCGGAACCTGCTTGTATCTATTCTATTGTAGTCCCGCTCCGTCGTGCCCAACCCCTCTCTCTGCCTTGCTTCCACTTGGAAATACCTTGTCTTCTTCACTTACTTTCTCACTAAAAATGTTTATATATTTTTTTTTAATTGAGGTTCCCGCCTCCAAACTTCACTCACTTTATAACTAAATATAATTTAAAAAATGTAATAAAAATACATGTTCTTATTATTTTTGTAGAATTTGATGTATTATTCTCATACTTGCTTGCGTGTATTATTCTCTCAATCAGTTGCCACGTTATTAAACTGTATGCTTTTTCATTTTTTTCACCTATCATCTTCATAAAGAAAAGTTTGAAATTGATCTTTGATCCCCCATCAAGGCAATGAAAATTTAAATAAAGTGCTTTTAATTGAATTCGAGTTCGCCTTTGAGGACCCTTGATAAATAGTGGCTGACGGAAAGGCACCACTTAGACAATTAAAATATCTCCAAAAATCCGAGATCACATAGTGGATCCCGGTTTGTCCAACATTTTTCTGTAGCTCTTTTGCTGTGTTTTCAAAAACCTTGAAAAATAGTGTTGACACATTCAATTCCTTCCATTTCTTACTATTCTTTTACTTCATTACTAATACTTTTTGCCCAACGTTCATCAATTTAAATAATCATTCCTTCAGCCAAAGGTACGCATACCCCACAATAATCAAATGCTAACCATCTGTCACAGTTTCAGCCTAACATGTAAATCATTCATGTTTCATTTTCACTCATCCCGACCTACTCCCACTCGCAAATACACAATAATCATATACTATAACTAAGGCAATAACAATTTCATAAAGAACACTTGTCTGCATTCATACCTTTATACGACAATATCAAACATCCATCCGCAAAATGTCGTTTTCCCAACATTTCATATGTAAACATTCTCTCTTGTATTAAGTGTACATTCTCGCCTCTGTGCATTTAAAATTTATACGCAAGTTACTTTTATAAATATAGTGAAGAAAAATAGAATTATTCTTAAATATGAACTGGATTATCAAAAAGAATAATGTTTATTTGGACAAAACAGTGATATATAATGAATTAGTTAACATTTATATTGCACAATTTTTTTAAAGGACTTAATATGTTTGTAACAAAGACTTTAGCTTCCGGGTCAATGACCTCCATCTCGATCAGGTTTTTGTCCAGTTTCCCTGATCCATTGAGCAAATGCTGAGATGGCCCCTTGTTTTGCTTCTAGACAAAAATGTAGCTTCACTATGCGCACTTTTTGTTGAACCCTCCTTTTGCTTGTAATGGTAAGAGTAGAGGTAAGGACGAGTTGCTATTTTGTTAGCAATACAGAAAAATCATACTTGCAATTCTTGTACCGATGCAAATAAGTTTTCTATAACTCAGAAACAAAAATGACTATTTTTCAAATATTGCTAATATTGCGATTTTTAAAATTTATTTATTTTTATTTATGTTAAACTC